TGCCCGATGGGGTACGATGTTGGAGGATTATACCTCCTTAGTGCCTTTCGAGGTGTGGTATTGGAGAAGATCTTCTTAGTACCTATTTAGGTGTGGTGTTAGAGATTTGAAACTCCTTAGTGTCTGTGTGATACGATGTTGGAGTCAACAACACACCATTATGTGTATTGGAAAAAACTATAGTCTAGAAGTAAAATAGAACACCTTTAGCTGGGTGATTCTACCACTAAAGGTGAGCTCAAGGCCAATAAGAGTGCACATTGGTCTAAGACGAGCCTATGGTTTCATGTCAGGGTGATTTGGAGGTTTGGTCGATAATGATCATGCTATATGTTGTATTAGTAGAAAAGTGAAGAAAAGTGGTGAATCAAATGTAAAAGTGATGAAATGATTAATATAAGTGATATTTGAAATGAAACTTGTGATATATGTTATATTAAATGGTATATTATGCTTTACTTTCATATAGTTACATGTGATAGTCAATAGGAGTAAGTTATTATGTTATTGAGATTTTTGTCTTACCCTCATGGTTACTTTTGATAGGACAGAGTAGCTATCAGGGCAAGGGAAAAGAGTCTAAACCGGCTTAGAGTTGTTAAATTTGTCTGAACTCAGAGGATTGTGTAATGAACTGAAATCTTGAGTATATATATGTGTAGATAAGTTGTCATAGGGTTGCATACATGTTTTAAGTAGTGGTTTGTGAAATCTTAGCCCAATTGTATATATATGTGGTGAAATGTATTAAGGGCTAAGATTTAGGTATGTATGTGTTGAAGTTGTAAATGTTGGTGAATCTTAAGCCCAAATATGGAAATTATGATTAAGTGAGTAATTTAGGCTAAGATTGTATTATGAATATGTTATGAGTGTGGTTATATGTGAATGTCTTGAGAAAACGGCCAAGTGGGGCATGTTGTGCCAAGTGATGACAAATTGTGAAAATTTATAAAATGTAGAAATTGATCGTTGAGGGGTCAAATTTTGGTATTTAAGTATGTATGTGATATACTGTGGCTAATCAAGTGTATTAGATCCTTTTAGACTTAGTTCAAGACCTTGTGTGGTCTAATGAGAAAAAGGAATTGATTTAAGTGCTTGAGTATGTAAATCTTTTAGAAAAAGTGACTTTTTACATCCAGGTGCTTAAATTTCAATCAAACTGTTACATCATATCCAAATCTATCTCATTAGCTAGCTTATGAGATAAGCTTCGTGTGAGAGGTTGAATCACTCCGATGATCGTCATATGTGAAAATAGGCATGCTGAAAGTTTGTCATTTTGCTGTCAAAATGACAATAGAAATTTCAAACTAGTACTACGGCGCATGACACAGAAAGTTAGGCGTGTGGCTCTGTGCCACATGCCACGGCACATGTATTGCATGCCACAGCACATGGCCTAATTTCCAACTTGATTTTGAGGTTTTAATGCATGCAATGATTGAGATTAATGTATATGAGTTATTTTCGCTATATATTGCTCTGATGCATTATGGTTTTGATGAATTTGCAAAATAAGTCTTTGGCTAAAGTTTTTTAAATAAATTCTTTGATTACTAGTTAGTGTAATTGACCTAGTGAGTTAGTGATCTTTTCCTGTATCGAGCCAATATAGGAGGAGGTTACACATTACGTGTCACTCAATATTAAACTTTACTAATACTAAGTTCTATAACTTGAAACCCTTTAAACTCTACTTAGCACTTTATTTTTGATGATCTCTTCATATTTTTTGGGCTTCGCTACCATCTGATCATGACTTCATATGATCATATTTGGTATCTACCCAGTCTGTACTATTCTAAGCCTAATGGATCATATTGGCCTTAATTGCAATATTTCTCTTTTTTCATGCATACTTTGTGCATGTCATCCTCTTACTATGGTTTTGAAGACTCATTTCCCAATGTGGAAGATTTTTGAAATATAATTTGTCCCAAACTATCAATTACTTGGATGAATAGTTATAACTCAAACTTCCATGAAATTTCTTTTTTCTTCAATGACATAAAATCTAGGATTTTTATAGTAAAATGAACCACAAGGATCTAAGGGGAAGCATATAAGGCCTCAAGGACTTGGTACTAGTTACAATGCCTCTGCTATTATTAAACTTTTGTTGAGAGATTTTATATTGCTAACTAGGAAAATATTTTTCTTTACACTTACATTATATATTATTTAAATGATTTTTGGGTATTTCTAGCCTATTGGGGATATATCCCAAAAGTTGATTTTGGATATGCCTTAAATACTTAAACAAGTGTATAGTGTTGCTTAAATTGTAATTTTGGAGTTTATGTTAAAGTTTGGGCATGGTTAAGCTCTTCACCCTATTGTAATATAAAAATGTTTCTTTTAATGGGTTGTATGTAGATATTTTGATATTAGTCTGAATCCATTGTTTGACTTTGGTATTGGGTCCATTAAGTGTTGTTTTAGGCCCGATGATGGCAAATGGTATTAAATGGGAGTTTTGGACACCTTGGATGCAATAATTTGAGAAAATATAATTATATGGAATATGAGTGTCCAACTCTATCATATGATATTATGTTTGGGTGAGACCTATATTATTAGTTAGTTCATTGAATTAGCTTTTCATGAACTCTTGAATCACCTTAACCAGACATCGGTATTAGAAGTTGTGTCATGGTTCTTACATAATGCACCATAGCACATGGCACCTTAGTAGTAGAGATTCAGAACTTTGACAAGCTTATGATAGTGCTACTTTGCAAGTGGTTGAGCGAAATTACCCATATGTGAATTGAGTGAAACACTATTCCCCTTATGTAGTTATCTACATATTCCAAGCTTGTCAAGTTTTGCATCCTTGAACATGTGCGTTGTATTTGATTGCTTTAAGTTGAGCATGGAAGGTTGAAATGGCATGATTATCCAACTAAGTAAGATTAACTCTTCTTTTCTTGATTTCTTGTTTTTATTTTTCTTTTAGTCTTCTTTAGAATTGGGTTTTGATTTTGTTTCACCTGGAATTGCAAAAGCTTAATTGTAGGGAAATTTAATAAATTCTCTTTTTCTTAATTTTTTTTACACTTTACTATTTTGAGCACATTAAAGGGATTTATAATTTTCAGACCAATTTGTGAATTTATACCAGTCTAAGAGCTTGATTTTAGCTTAAAGATACTTGTTTAAACTTGAATATGTGGTTGGAATGAATGAGATGTGGAGTTTTAAACTTTTGGATATGTAAATCTAAATTTTGGAAAATTTTTGTTGAGTTGATCTAGATGTATTTTGGCTTCAATATTAATTCAATTATAAAGTTGGAATGGTAAAAGAAGTTATGTTTAAAGTTTCATTGAAATTGGAATTAAATTAATTTCCTATTTTAAACTCGAGATTTTGTTAAAATTTGAAAAATAAAGAAAATATTGAAAAATTAATGATTGGCTTACAAGAAGGCTAGATAGCAATATTTTGGAATTGTAGGGTGAGGTCATCTATCTGGATGTTTGAATGGATTTGGAGCTTGGTTTTGTATAATGGTTTCCCATGTAATGTGAAGGGTAGAGATAATTAGGAGTTTTATTTTTATGCGCTAAAGATTATTTTTGTCCTTAAACTTTACCCGAAAATTTAATGGATGCCTTGAACTGAAATAAGGATCTATTTTTATTCCTTAATTTTTAAATCTGAATCATTAACACTCTTAATATTATCTCAACTAATAATTTATGTTGGTGGACCTCATATTTAAATTTTTTAATATTTTTTTATAAAATATTGTTAGGTCCCACTTCTTCTCCCTCTCCCCTCTCCCCTCTACCCTATCTCCTCACACGTATATTATATTCAGCTCACATCCTTAAATGTGTCCTTTTATTTTATTCTTTTTTTGTTTTCTCTTCAAATTTTAGGTTCTCTCTTCAATTCATGCATCAGCCCAATTCTCGTGATCGTCATTAGTTCAATCTTGATGGAAGGAGGCCGTCTGATCCTTGTTGATTGGGTGTTGGTAGAAGGCGGCTATTTGGTCCCTGTCGGTCCTGCCCTGATGGAACTTGACCGTCCCGTCTCAATCATCATGGGTGCTATAATTTCAGTTGACTTTGACTGTGTGATCCCAATTAAAGTTGACCATTCAAACTATTGAATTTGATTAGTGAAGTTTCTTTTAAATTCAAATATAAAATTTTAAATTTTACTTAATATCAAAAAAAAAAAATTTGATCTATAAATTTTAAATGTGAAATTTTAAATATAAAATTTTAAATTTAAATTTTTAATTTAAATCCAACCATTAAAATGCAACATAAAAAAATAGTAGTTTTAAATTTATAATGAATTTTATCATATTATAAAAATATTTTGATATATTATTATAAAACCATTTTTTAACCTTTAACATTAATCAAATTTAATATCCAAGTTGAATATCCAAATATGAACAGAACTGTTTCATAAGAATATGAATCCCGTCCTCTCTTCAAAGTTCAAAGACGGGAAAGATATTTAAAAAAAAAAATTGGCTTTTCTTCCAAATTGTATATATTTTTGGCTATTAAAATATTTTAGTGATGCATGTAAGGAAATAAAATTCCACAAGACAACAAAACAAGTACTGTTGCCACGCACCCTGATCTCTAGTCACTACTCTCCACTGCTGTCTACCACGGGAATCCAAATCCAATCCCCAAAAATCTTACAAACAAAACGCTGAACACGTCGACGTTTTTGTCTTTTCCAACACTATTCCTTCTTTCTCCATTTTCCCCTTCATTCTCAAATTCTAAACGGATCGTCACTGACCTCCAAAATAATACTCTCCCCGTACTTTTCTGAGAGTTATTGGCAACATCTTTTACAAATAAAGGTAAACATTGGAACATTTTAAATTATATCCTTATTACTTAAAAAATATAAATATTATAAAAAATTTGATCACATATTTTTCAAGACAAAGCGGTGTTTTATATTTTCATAAATTCGATATTACAAAAGCTTGGATACTACTGAATGAAAAATAGTAATAATAAATATATATTATTAGATAAATAAAACATATGGGAATAACCAATAATCAACTACCTCTATACAAAAGCTTTGATACTTCAGTAGCCTCCCGGAACAATGCTTGCCATGATCGTCTTAATTTTCAGATAAAATTTTCCCCACAAATTAAAAAAAAAACAAAAAGAAATTTGGATCTTAACCCATATCCTTCACAATAAAATATTCACATCCACAGCTTCCAAAATAAATCTTTTTTACTGTTCCTCTCTCTGCTTCTTCCTCACATTCCATCCACACACACAGAGGGAGAAAATCAGAATCGTGGCACCAGAATTACATGACATGTACGGAAGATATCAGAAACACGTTGAGCCGCCACGTGGTGCGATTTTACTTCACCAGCTCTGAAACCCACCCTACATCCGGAGCTCCACCCGAAGAACCCGGGTCCGACCTCTCCAGGGAATTCTCTTTGCTCAATTTCTCGAACATCTTTGCCCTTATGTTCCTCCCGGACTCTACCCGCTCCATTACCGGCTCCTCCTCGCAACTCAGATCCCAAATATCAAAATAGCTGCCGCCGGCGAGAGTTGGTGCCTGAGTTGGGGTGGTGGGCAGGCTGTAGAACCCGGGTCGGAGCACGGATCCCCTAGGAGACCCGAAGCAGGGAGACCCCATAGGAACATTCCAAGAAGAGGACAACGAGAAGGACTTACCCTTGCCAAGCTGCAAATTACGGAGAGTAGCCACCATCTCATTGATGGAGCTCGAACAAGGGGACCGGCTTAAAGACTGCGCCATCGGAGACAGAGGAGGAGATTCCGTTGGAGAACTAGCCGGCGGCGAAACCGACAAGGGAGACAACATGAACGGCAGCGTTTTAGCACAAGAAGACTCAACCGCCTGCCTCAACGGAGAGCCGTCGTATGAATCTGCCGAGTTAGCACTCCTTGGACTCTGCTGAGGCAGAATCCTTAGCTGCTCAGGCGTGTGAGCAAAAAAGCACACCCTTCTCCGGCAGCTCGTACCGTCCTTACACGGCTGCGTACGATAACGAGACGGATGAAGCCAACACTCAAATACTCCATGAGCGAACTCACACGCATCCCCTTTCTTACAGCTCCCTTTGCGAAATTCGGGGCATGCAGTGCCGGAATAATGATACTTCCTCGGGTCCCTCCGGCGAGCCTTCTCGCCGGGATGAGCATAAGGGCATTCCGTCCAGTCATGTGACCTGCCGCGCGCGCACCTCCTCACCTTGAACTCGTACATACGGAAATGATCGCAGGAGTAGGCATCGACCGGAGCATCGGAGTCCCGACCCAGAACCTCCGTGTCTGAATCGACGTCGGCGTCGTTGGAGGGTAGATAACGCTGTAGCGCCGAGAGAGCCTCTTGCAAGTAAAACGGGGAGTAATCGCCGGTGCTGGCATTACCGTCGGAGTCTCCGGAGATACCACTGACCGGGTAAGGAGAACAGATATCAGAGGTCAAATCATCGAGGTTGAGGGGCCATGGAGGAACTTGGACCGTTGGATTTGTGTGATGGGACTCACCGAGCATCATATCCTTTGATTACTTTGGTGAATTTTTTGATGCTTACAGAAACTCCGGTGTTGTGAGGGTCGCTTATAAACTGCAGGGAAGAGGAGATTATAACCGTGGTTAGGTTAGCCTGTAACCCGGGTTGAATTAAAAACAAATGAACCGCATTTATCACTGCGGTTAAAGTAAGGGAATTTCCTTAGTCACGGTAACCGTAAATGACAGGTGGCTTCTTAGTTAGCCACGTGGCAGAACAGATAATGATCATCTTCCTGAGGGACCATGGGTCCACGTGGCCTCGTCCCACTGGATACGACATGACAACGCTGTGACCGCCTCGACGCCCTAGTGTTTGGGAAGAGGAACGTGGCATTGGAGCGCGTGAGATGCCACGACAAATAAAAGTTAGTCCTGAATGCTTATCAATCCATTAGCCATCAACGAAAATTAGTTCACCGGATATTATCACTTCCTCTCCCTTCACTTTTTGAAAAAATATTAATTAATTTCTAATTTTATAAAACATCTCATAAATAAAAAATACACAAACCTTTTAAAAGAAGTCTCAGAAAAGCTGAGGTTAAACCAAAAAAATAGAAGAACATTTGTTTCATTCTCCTTTAAAGTGTATTTAGATTAAACTTTGAAAATTTTGAAGTTTTCATAATCTAAAGTTCCTAAATTAAAGTGGGTTTAACATGATTTATCTTAAAAAAATTTAACGTGATTTATGTTTCTATAAATAAATACAAAGGCCAAAAATCACAAACCAATAAATTTAGTGTTTTACCTGAACTCTATTTTGAGCTAAAAGCCATTCCTAATCAATTTTTCCTAAACAAGAACCAAATGATATAATCCAAGTTTTGAGACCCAAACCAGTTTAAGCCACTAATTAAACTGAGGTTTGGGTTTCAACCAAACATATCCTAAGAAATGTGGGTTATGATCGAGTGGAATTGGCTTCCAATGTTTACATAAAGTTTGACTGTTGACGTTTACTGCTTATAAAAAAATCAGCCTATTACAATTTTGATAAATATAAGAACATGTGAAATTTTGTTGATAATAATATGTAAGATATTTCTAATTACTATTATAACTTAAGTTTTCTTCTAATGTCAATAGGTTTGCAATGAAGACTAATAACTTAAATAATTTTACTAAAGATTAAAATATAAATCCATCTCTTAAAATTTTTTTGAAGGCACAATTATTGATATCTTAAAATATTTAAAGGTGTAATGTCACCTTTATATTTTTAAAAACAATACAATTTTATCTTGATCCAGTGGTTGGATCATAAAGTGATTTGTCTTTTTTTTTTTTTTTACTAGACAAAGAGTGATGGGGTTAAAATTGAAGAATTTCTAGCGAAACAAATAAAACTTTAACAAAAAATATTGAAGTCATGTAAGCATGCTACATAAGAATAGTAGGTCAATTTATGGTCAAATGTTAGAGTCTGTTAATAATATAGGGCAAAATTATACCTTTTTCTAAAAAGTCAAAGAAACATTATACCTTTAAATACTTTAAAATATTAAAATTACATTTTTGAAAAAAATTTGGGAGCAAATTTATACTTTAGCCATTTTAATAAAAGTGGTTTGGTTAAGTAAAAGATATTTAATTCCTCTTCAATCAAAGGTTCAAATATTATTAATGTATGAAAAAAAAAAGCAAAGTTAAAAAAGAAACCTTCAATTGAGCTAAGCAAATATAGGATTCTAATAAGATATTAATTATTTCTTCTAATATTATTCCTAAATTACTTTCACTATGTTTTACTACCATCAAGAAAAATTTTAAAATTCATTAATTCTCTCTAAAGATTTAACAATTTTTTTAATTTTATTCTCATTAAATATATATATTTTAATATCATATTTCTTTCACCAATATTTAACAGGAGCAAAAGTAAAAAATTATGATAAGAAGTCAATAATATGCTTTATAGATAAGATCAGCAAATCCTTTTCCCATTACCTTATAAACTGGTTAGAAAAGTAGTATTGGATAATAAATAACAATTATAAGAAAAATAATAATAAAATCCTTTCGTATTATAAAAATGACAATTCAATCCTTCAAAATGTTATAATTCAACTGAAATTCTTAAAGACTTTTTCATTAAAATTTTTTAAATTGAAAAGATCATTTTACCGTTATTAAAAAGTTGTAATTTATTGTTCAATTTTTGTGATTCTTTGAAGAAAAGTTGTGAATGGAGTTTGTTATTTTGAGAACTTATTTCTTAATAATAGAAATTACATTTGATAAATAGTAATTTTTTTGTTTAACTTTTGCAATTTATGAAACAAAAGTTATAATTTCTTAAATAAAAATTGTGATTGAGATTTATTTTTTAATAACAGAAATTACACTTGACAAGTTGTAATTTTTTATTCAACTCTTATAATTTACAAAATAAAAGTTATGACTCTTTAAATAAAAGTTGTAATTAAAATTTATTATTTTTAGTAAAGGTAAAAAAGTCTTTTCACTTTAAAATTTATTGACATAAAAGTCTTTAAAAATTTTATTGAAATTATAGTATTTTAAAAGATCAGATAGCCATTTATACAATTCGGAAGGATTTTATTTTTATTTTTTTAATTATAATTACAATTACAATTGTATAAAAAATAAGATTTAGATAAGCTAACATAATAATATAACAATAAATAATCATAATAATACTTAATGAATAAAGTTTAGTTTTAGTCGGGGAATTAATATGCCGTACAATTAGCATCAGAATACAACCCATAGATTTAGTGAGAGGATACGAAATTAAATGGGGAAGCACATAGTGAAGGAAGAAAGTGGGGAACAAAACCGATGGGCGAGGGGATTGGATTTAATTTTATCGATTAGCATAAAAGCGAAACAAATTGAAACTTTAATGCAAGTGGAGCAATCACGTGCGTGGAAATCGAAACACTGCAACGCACGGTTTCTGGTTAATCCATTCGCTCTCGTCTCTCTAGTAGTCTTTCAACAGACGATGATCCGTCTGATAGTGCCATACATAAACCCCAGATTTATTGCACGCCAATATAAACTCATCAATTCTCATCCATTTCTTTTTTGATGTGAGTAGGGTCCTGAGTACTCTCAGAAACTGGCGGAGCTATGCATGCGTCTCATGAAACTTTGAAAATATAAGCACATAAGGATTAGTTTGAGATCTTGTCCTCTGTCTTTTTTTAACTTTGTACCTCTTTTTCTTCTTGAGAGTGAGAGGGGGAGGGGATTTTCTAGTTCTAAGATTTGATTGAGAGACAGTATCAATCAACGTACAATCTTTATTTTCATGTATATCGTATAAATCAAGTTTCTAATAACAAAGAATTAACATAAAATTTTTTAAAAAAATTATAAAATTCAAATGTTACAAGATATATAATTTGTTTAGAAATATATAAATTTAATTATATATAAATAAAAATAACTATTTAATATTTAAATAATATCTTACCCCCTCTAGCCAAACATCCTGACTCTACTACTATTATTAGAATTAGGACATGCTTTCAACTCAAAAAGTACTTACAACTTATAAGTCATACACTAACAAGATCCTTATAATATTGACAGCAAAATTTGATCCCATACTATTCTACCTATACTTGATCACTTTCACCTCACTATAACAAGATTGTGCATGGTTTTTCGCTGAAAAAAAATATCCATGAAAAATTAGGGGGAATTGGTGAGAAAATGAGTATTTCTTGTGATTAAAGAAGGGATCAAATAAAATAAAATAAAACTTGACAGGAAATTCAATTTTCTTTCAGAATCATTTGAGAGAAAAATTTTCCCTTGGATACTCTAAATTAAAGGGAAAGCGTTTTTATGGAAATTTTTGGAAAACAATTTCTCACAATACATTCAAGAGAAATTTCTCTTGGTAAATTCTGAAATTAAGGATGTCCTGACCGTATCCTATTGAGAGAGATGTTTCCTCCTAAGAATACCCGAGAGAACATGAAAAAACATGTATGGAAATGTTTTTCTTTTTCTTTTTTTTAATAAGAGGAAATGTTTTTCTAATTCCATAGAATTTTAAAGAGTTCTCTCGATTTTTATTTTCTAATTTAAAAATATTTTCTTGTCATAGAGTTACTTAATACAATTATTCAATATCCCATATTATTAGGTCAAATTCAAATATGATATATCTATATATATATATATATATATATATCAATTATTGAAAATTTATGTTGGATCGCCAGGCTCATTAGGATCAGTTGATCAGGGCATGTCTTTAAATTCAAAAAATATTTATATAAATATTTATAAATTACTTACCAATAAAATCTCACATTGGTAGTGAAAATGGAAAATATAAGTAAATCCAAGATCTCATGGACTATGGATAAAATTTTTATTAATTAAACCAATCCTTTTTTGGCTTTAAAATTCAAATACTATATTGATTTTTTTTTTTCATAAATTTGGGATTGGATTTCACAAAACGATTGAATGACGAGACCGGCTGTGACTAGGAGAGGCTTGTGATGAGTCTTAAAGTAGCTAAAAAAATCAGGAGGATATACAAAATTAATATTAATTATAATTTCAATTTGATTTGGCATTGATATATATATATATATATATATATATGAGCAGAGAATGGGAGATGGATTGACTTTTTTTGGTTTGTAAGTATTATAATTTCTGAGTGGCATTGGTTGAAGAAAAAATGCGTGGTGGGGTACAGAATGGGGAGAAAAAACAAAGAGTGATACAGTGAGTGAATGAATGAATATATTCATAACATGAGATAGTGTTGATGATTTCAATTTCATGTCAATATCTCTCCGAATTGATGCCTCTCTCCCATCCATTACTTAACTTTCATATCACTACTCTAGTCTTCCTCCAACCCCACCTCCCTTATCGTTTCTGCTTCCCACCGTCAATATATATATTGTTATGAATATTGGAGGATCATTTGTATGTTCATATATTTTATATTTTCCAATTTCTTTCAGTTTTTCAAATATTTTTCAGTTATTAATTATATTACATATTTTTATTTGATTTAGTTGGTTGTAC